ATTTGAAAAACTTACCTCATAATTGGTAAACATTACGCTCTTATAGGTCTTTGCCTTCTTAAAACCTTAAATTTGTTTGAATTATTTTTCACATTTGCAAGAATGGTATGTATGTATTGAGAAAGCGCAAATAGTTTTACGTTTTCACTAGTGTTCTGGGTGTTCAATACTCATGGCTTTATTAGAGTTTGGTAAATGTTGCTAAGGTTGTCGGTATCTGATCTGAAATTTACTGTTTTGCATCTTTTTTTTTATTTGTATCATTTCTTGGATTCTTCTTTTATGATAATTTGTTTCAATAATTCCAGAAAAAAAAATTTCAAGTTTGAAGAAAAATATTCACAAATATACGGTGTAGCAGTGGGTTCGCCCATATCAGCAACAATTGCAAACCTTGTTGTGGAAAGCTTGGAAGAAAGCATAATAACAAGAGATAAATTCCACAATTTTCACGACACTATAAAATTTACAATGGAAACGAATAAAACTCAATCAATAGATTTTTTAGACATAACAGTAAATTATGATAATTCAGGTGATATAAAAACAAAATGGTATACAAAAGAAGTTTGGTCAGAAAGGTGTCTAAACTATAATTCATATGCACCCCAAAAATATAAAAAAGTAGTAACTGCACTTGCGGATAGGGCTATAAAATTATCACACCCAAATTACAGACAAGAAAATTTAAAAAAATAAGAAAAATATTTCTTAATAATAACTACCCAAAAAAATTTTGTGAACCAATAATAAAGCGAAGAATTAACAAAATTTACAACTCAACTAAATATAATAATAATTTGGAAATAAGAAACAATACATACCTATATATCACTACCATACATTCCAAAAATCAATAGGAAAATTTCAAAAGTACTAAAGCCACACAACATTATAATTGCGGAAAAAACAAAAAACAACTTATCAACTGAATGTTTCCCAATACTAAAACCAAAAACTGACAGAATGGATGTACCAAATACTGTATATAGAGTGAATTTTTTAGAATGTGATAATACATATATAGGACAAACTAAACAATATTTAAAAAAGAGAATGTACATAAATACAGTCTGAGAAACACTAGTGAACATATAACAGCATTAACACAACATGCACACCTAATGTAACATAATTTTGATTTTAACAACGCAGATATATTGGTTAGGGAAACAAATTATCATAAAAGAAGAATCCAAGAAATGATACAAATAAAAAAACATGCAAAAGCAGTATATTTCAGATCAGATACCGACAACCTTAGCAACATTTTTCCCTCAAGAACTAATGAACAACATATTTTCAAAGAATCGAAGCTGATAAAAATTGTTCAACTGCTAAGTCGTCTGCGACAAGTTCTGTCTGAAGGATGTAAGCTAGAAAACATTCGAATTAAT